CTGGGCACAGGCTCAGTGGTTAAGAGTACTTGATGCTCCTGCAAAGGACTGGAGTTTGATTCCCAGCATCCACATCAGCTTGCTTACACCTGCCTATAACTCCAGCTCCAGGGAATCCCATGCCCCCTTCTGGCCTCCGAAGGCACCAGAACAACACACACAGCCATCTGCACACTTGCAGGTGTACACACACACACACACACACACACACACATATCTTAAAATGAAGAGAGAAAAAGGACAGCTAAGGGGCATGTGGATGTATTTACGTGCTGTGTGTTCACACTTGTTTTGTTCTGTGATGCTGCAGGTCAAACTCTTGGAGCCACAAGCCTGTCTACACTGTATTTGTAGCTCATATACTATGAGTTTACTTACAACATCTGTGGGGAAATGAATGCATTTTTTTCCTGGTTTAGCCTTCATTGCACTGAGCTCTGTGGTGCTTTAAGCAAAGGCAGTAGTTGACACCTTTCACAACATAGAGATTCTGTGACAAGAGAGTCAGGATCAGAAGGGTACACCCCAAGGCAAGATAACTACTGTCTTCAAACAGGGCAGGTATGATACATCTGTATGGCAGGAACCCTGAGCGAGAACCCCCAATCCATCAAAGCCAGTCTAGGCCCACGGAGGGTCTAGAGAAGCAAAAGGCCCTTTTCAAGGGCTTGTGATGGGCACCTCACAGGTCAGGAGAGCCCAGGGTACAGAAAGACAGTGCATAAAGGCCAATGACTGAAGGCAACGGGTTCACCTAGGAGAAAGGGGACGCAGACAAGGGTGGTGGGTGCAAAGGGGCCCTGGCTGCCTTCTGGGCATTAGGGAAAGACAAGACAAGGCCTGCAAGTACCAGAGCTTCAGGTCCAAAGACAAGGGTATGCCTTCTGGACTTAGAGCACAGAGTGCACGTGCGGTAACGCTCCCTTGAGCCTGCCTCTCCAGGACTTCAGGGTCCTGCCAGCAAGCCTCACAGTCCACAAGACAGGACAAGCCACCCCACATGCTTACACTCATTGTCACCACACCTTAGCTCTTCTGTACTGAAGCTGCTAAAAGCCCAATCCGCCACCTTTCCCTGGAGGCCTCTGTGGTGGCTATGACCATGAGAAGTGCCAGTCACCTGCTACTGAGAGCCTAGGGAGCACAAATGGCCATTGCTGCTCCTTAGGTAGAAAACAAAGACAACTTAGGACAAGGAAAATAGTATGGGGACCCAGAGAAGGCACTAAGGAAGCAGGATGCAGTGAGCCTCCCTTAAAGACAACGCATGCGCAGAAAAAGAGGCTTCTCAGTGCTCAGCACAAGAGCCGTGCTCCCAGCTGAGGCCAGGCCCTCATCTCCTCACTGCAGGTGGGTCATTTGTGGACACTAACAGCTCTTCTCCATGGCAGAAGATAAGCCGCAGGGATTATTCCCTCTGTATATTTTGAAAGCAGATGGCCTGTTTTCGCTAATCCAATTCTACATGTAAATGTACCGCTGCTTGGGACAATAATAAAAAAATGAATGATGACTTTAATCTTTCAGTTGCAACTGTGTTGCTTCAGAAACGGTTACATGATGCCTGGCATTACACGTCTACGTGTCTTTCTCCCTTGTGATAAGGAGCAGAGCTGGCAGAGCTGAGAACAGGGCCTTGAAAAGTACCCACATATATATGGAATCCTAAAGTAAAACCCACTATATTCTGGCTTTAAAAATTAAGTCAGTTGCTGGAGAGTTGGCACAGAAGCTAAGAATACTGGCTGCTCTTGCAGAGGACCTAGGTTCAATTTCTAGCACTCACACATATGCTCACAAGCATCTGTGACTCCAGTTCCAGGAGATAAAACATACTCTTCTGGACTCCATGGGTACCAGGAAACACATAACACATAGATATTCATTCAAGGAAAGCACTCGTACACACAAAATAAAAATTAAAAATCTTTAAAACTAAAAAGAATTTGGATCTTGCTTCTCATCTTCACTCCCCCTGAATCTGTGGCCTTGGAAAGGTCCTCTGTTGCTTTCAGAGCCCCTGCCTATAAATTGTAAGCAGTGAGATTCCCTGCTTGGGACACAGGAGAACAGATTAGGTATGTGCAAAGCATGATGAGTAACCCAATGGGAAAGCATGGTTGCCTCTGAGAAGGGGTCGCTGGGAAGGAACCTTAGGGAGCTTCTCGAGCACGGACGGAGCACAGATGGAGCTCTAGTACCCATGAGTGACATTCAGAAAGTGAACACGCCACATACGCACAGCTAGCAAAAGAAACTGAACTTGCATTGATGAGATGTGTTCCAAAGCACTAGGAGGTAAAACAGACAGACTGCTGTCTGCAATCCTGAACAGCATTAGACAGACAGAATGCAGAAGGAAGAGACACGGAAGGAAGCAACAGGAGAAGTGCAAACTGTGGAGTACAGGTACCTGGGACGCAGGGACCAGCTACGAAATCCTTCGCTTCTTCCACACTTTTGAGTGGAGAAGGAGGGATGTCTGCCAGAGCACCTGTCCAGAAGAATAACAGGACACACAGTCCAAGGAACCATGTGAAGTATGGGGCTTCACAGTGACCCCACACTTCCTGTGTTCTCTCAGTAGGCAAATAAGGTACTGTTACAACCCTTTATTTAAATATGAACATCGAAATCCACTGCAGCCCTTCAGTGCTGCACACCGACTATGTGCCCAGTTGGAGACACAGAGTCAGTGGAGGGTACTCACAGACAACAGGGGAATACCCAACACCTCGATATTAGGAAGCTTTTCAGAGGAGTGCTGATTGGGTTAGAACCCAAAAGTGGACTGACTGAGCAGAGGAGGTAGAGGGGGAGTAGAGAGGACAGCAGGCTGAGTCTAGGATGGAAAACGATGGATCTAATAGTTTCAAGGGTGGAGTGTAATACCCATGGACAGGGAACTATAGGTTTGGTAATAGGGCTGTTTGTTGGGTTTTTGTTGTTGTTGTTGTTTTGTAGTTTTAATTGATTTTTGAGGCAGGGCCTTACTATTTAGCTCTGGCTGTCTTGGAACTCACTATGTAGACCAGACTGGTCTCAAACTCACAGAGATCCACCTGCCTCTGCCTCCCAAGTGCTAGGATTAAAGGCGTGCACTACCATGCCCGGCCTGGAATTTTGTTCTTGATGACAGCCAACATATTTTTCTAAGGGAGAGACACACAAGGGCTGTGCTTCAGAAAGAACACAGGATCAGAACAACAGTCACATGATTATCACTTGGATTTATTTTAGGAAAGGAAAAAAATATTTTCTACTTCCTAAATTAGGAAGGCAAGGTAGGTTACAGGAAATATGAAAAAAATTTAACCATAGTAGACCCTATTCCTAAGGGCATCACATACCTGGGTCATAGAACAAATCTAGTTGGTACTGACCTGGAAGCTTCAACCCTGCTTGCTAGTTTTCATACTGGATATTGTACACATTATCAGAGGAGAAAAGTGATCACCAATCTCACCTAGCTACAAACCTTCAAAGCTACAACAACATGGGCCTAGTAAGACACAGTCATTGGTGCAACAGTGGCATAAATGTCATGGGAGCAACCAAACACTTTATGATTGGATTGAAGACCCACTAACCAATACCTTAGCATCACTGTCAGGGCCAAGAACCTGTGGTTAGACTGGGTATAGGTCTTACGGGAGATCCTAAGACTATTAATCTGCTAAATGGACATAGTATTAAAATGACTCCTAATGACTTATTATTACACTTAGAAATTAATGCATTTCTCAGCCGTCAACAGAGAAGCTGTTTCTTATATCAGATGGTGATTAACAGAGACCCAGGGTGCATAGAATAAGAGATTTCAAAGTACTAAGCCCTTAACAGGACATCTATCTCATACCCTCTTCTCCAAAAGCTCAGAGACCATCAAGGAAGAGAATGTAGATAGATTCTAAGAACCAGGTGTGGCAGATGGCTACAAGAAAACTGTTTTCTGGACACAGCAGGGTAGCAGCACTTACGAATCTGCAATGATTATGACAGTATGCACAAGACCCTTGAAATGTAAAGCCAAACAAAATCCCAGCATGGAGAGGGGAGGTAGACATGAAGCCCCACCCCTAGCTAGGGAGCTATTGAAAACTGATAGCTGCTGGAAGAAGGGAACCCATTTCTTTAAGAATATGTGTTGCTCTTTGTAGGCTGACCATGCTATCGTCACACATCCAAGAGTATATATCAGCATAGATTGGACTTAATGAATTTTTTATCAAAAAGACAAATCTGATGGATATTAAGGTGGGGGTGAATCTAGGAAGAGTTGGGATGAATATAATAGAAATGCATTGTCGCGTCAGCCGTGCAGCCTGTGTCCGAGAACGTGCGGAGGGTGTCGGGGATTGACAACACAGAGACTCGTTCAACGATGTAAAGAAAACTTTAAGCAGGCCCCAAAAAGGTTCAAGAAAACTTCCTAAGAAAGGCTCCCTCCAGAGAAGCTTCTGCTCTCTCCTCTACCCTGGCTGGTTCTGCTCTGACACCAAAAACTGATCTGGGCGTGTCAGAAGAGGCGGTTGGACAAGGTCGAGGTCAGAGCAGTTTCCGTGGGCAGGCCTTTTCCAGGAACTTATTGCCCCAGGCATTGTATTGTTTTTAGTAAACATGTTTTTAGTAAACATTGTCTTACAGCTGCCTACTCCCAGGCCGAAGGGGAAGTGGGTCTCTGCTCAAGGTCTGGTGTCCCCACAATGCATTGCACAAAACAAGAGTTAATAAAAATGCTAATTTTTAAAGTTTTGTCACCTAGACTACAGTTTTCTGCCATTCATCCAACGCTAACAAATTCCTTCAAGTATCAGCCGAAACCTACAACCAGCTTACTTAAATCCCAAGCATCAGATGAAGAACCTGGCGCTAAGGGACACTGAAGAGAGCAGCACTCGACTTCCTGGTGACTCAGTCGTACTTTGGGTAGCCCAGCATTAGCTCTCTACAACATGTTGTCTGCTACTGAGCACACAGATGGTCCCCATGCCACCTACCCTTGGTGGTGAGGAGCTTGGAGGTGACTTCCAGCTGTTCTAGAGGCTCTAGTCCAATGTTCTCCAAGGTGATAACCAGCTGCTGAGCTTCTCCATTGTAAAGCTGGACAGACACGTTGGTTGATATTTCGTCACCGGAAGAGGGCTGCAATGAATGTGCAGACCTAAAATCACAGAAATGATAGGGAGAAAAATAAGGAAGAAAGAAGAGAAAACACTGGCCACATGTAGAGACCACTGGCAGAGGAACACACTTGAGAAGAGAACAGACACCCTGGCTGTGCACAAAGGGTTTGGTACTCAATTGTCACAAACGCACACAACCACTGTTAGAGCATGATGGAAGCAGCTGGGAATGAGGGTCCAGGCTCCAGGTAGTCTAACCCTGCCTCTGCTCTGAACTCACATGGGACAAGGCCACCACCAAGGGCATCTTTTACTACTTACCCCTCCACACGATGGAGAGCATGCAGGAACACTCAACAACTATGAGTGAATTCCATGACTCAGCCCTCTCCTACATTTATAACATGTTATAGTCAAGCCCCACTTGAATAACCATTTTTCAATGCAGTAAATTACCTCCGAAAAGTTAACATGTACACATTTTTTAAAAGTAAACATTTAGTTTGAGTCATTGCCATGGAACTCTCTCCCCCAGCTCCTCTTCTGCCCTGTGCTCCGAGCTCCCTATGAGCAGGCTGCCCAGGTCTCCCCCTAGGATCTCAGATACAACAGAGAGTACTATGGGCTTTATTGAAGCACTTCACAGATGCAATCTCAGGAAGCTATTATAAAATTCGAGAAAACTGAGGTTGCTCTTGAGATGGCTGGAGGGACACCCAGAGTATCAAGTCCTTCCCTCCCTGTGCGACGGCAAAAGTGAGCTTTGAAATGGTCAAACTTGTGGGCAGGTGACACAGGGCCTTTCCCCCAGCAGGCTCATCCTCCCTGGTAACAACCCTTTGATTGGTTTCTGTAGGGGAGATCTAAAGAACCCTGATGTACCCACGACCATTTGGGGCGTGGCCAGAGGGACGTGGGAAAGGTGAGAAAGAAAGTAAAAGCTCTCTCTTGGATCCTGGCCGAGGCTGGGAGACCACAGAGTGCTGACCCGACTTCTAAAGTGATTGCTCTCCCTAAATAAATATTTTAGACCCTCCCCTTCCAGTATTCTTTGCGTGGATCAGTTCCATCTACAGGTTCCCCTAGGACCCCTCATCCTTCTCTTAGACTGGACACTAAGGGCCTCCAAAGTGGGGCAGGTACCTGTCCACTTTCCCACTTCTCTCTGTGGCTATAAAGTGGTCAGGGGACAAGATGAAGCCCGTGTCACTCCTAAGCCAGTTCCCTCCAGGTTCCTAGGAACCACTAAGAATAGCGGGGACTAAGGCAAGGCCTTTGAGCTGCCAGCTGAAAGCACCCACAGGGAAAAGGACAGAACCTTGTGGAAGCTGCACGTGCTCAGCTGAGGTAAGGAGTTCATTCTAGGCAGCCACCAAATCAAAACGATCTGCCTGCCCCTCTGAATCAAGCGTAACTAACTACAGACTATCGTCATCTGCTTTTTAACCTATGATCAGTTTACAAAACTTGCAGACTTAAGCCACCTCCACTGAGACCTCATTTTAAACATCTCCATCTTCCTCTTAGTGTAATCCTTAAGACCAAACTCTATGTCCATCCCTGTTGCCACTGGCAGCTTCTCTCCACAGGCCTGTGTGTTTCTTCCAAATAGTCCATAGAGGAGCACTACTATAACTATGGCTTCTCTCCCTCAGCATGGTGTTTCTGGGGTCCATCTATGGCAAAGCAGGATCAGGAGCTGACTCATTTTTACTGCTGTGCTCCAGGGTCCAAGTGTACCTTTCTTTTGTTCTTTCATCGGCTGATGGACACATCAGTCCTTGCCACTACGAAACTATCAGGTATAAGTTTGGCAGCAGTGTATAGTCTCTCTCATCTTGGGTAGATATCTAAGAGAGGACTAGCTCAGTCATTAAACAGATGTTTGATCTTTTAAAAGGCTGCCCAACTATCCTCCCAATGGCACACTACTTTACATCCAACCAGCAGTGCATGAGGCTCCAGCTCCTGCAATCTCTTACCAGCCTGGCCATTACCTGTCTTCCAATCACAGCCACCACAGGGCGTGTGAGCTGCCACCTCAGGTGGGGGTGGGGTAGCCCCAAAGAGACTAACGGGCCCGAGTACCCTCCCAGGTTGCTTCTTTGTGTCTTTTGTGATGAGAGAATTATTCAGATCACTGGCCAATTTTTAATTGGGTGTTTGTCTCCTTCACACTGAGTCTTTAAAGTTCTTTATATGGGTACAGCTCTAGCACACATGTGCTGGGCAAAGACTTCCTTCCAACCCTTGAGTGGTCTTTTAATTTACCTACTGGCATCTTTGGAAGAACAACAGTCTTTTCACTGTGATAAGGTCCCAGTTATCAAGGCTTTATCTTACTGATCCTAACCCAAGAGCAAGAGGCTGTCTTCTAAAGGTGTGGGACTCCCAGCTGTCCCTTTCGAGTCAGCTCTCTCTTTTAGGTCCCCTGCGCACACACCCTCTCCTCCATCTCCACTCCCTCCGCAGCCTGCTGCTCACCTGCCCCTTGGCCCACACCTGCTGCTCACCTGCCCCTTGCCATCTTGTAGCTTCAGATGGTCGACTGGAAGGCTGCCTGTCATTCTCTCCTATTTGACACGCACAGGGCCAGGACAGACACATCCACTGTCATAGCCTTGCCACGCGGAACACGGCTTCACAAGGGTTACCGCGCACCTTCTACACTCTGGCCAGAGCTTCAGAAGAGAGCTTTAATCAGTACTAGAACTCCTGTCAAGAACTTCAATCAAGCATCTCTGCCAAACAGAGACTGTCTGATCTACTTAAGATTTTGTTACACTAACATTTTTCTTCTCACAGGTCCCCATGAGGTTGTCATCATCCCATCTCAGCAGGAAGTAGTTTTGAGAATTCCACACCCCCTCTCCCTACTATTGATATTGTAGGATAGTTTACACCTGTTAGTGTTAGTTTTCAGTTATTTTAGAGTTGGGATTGGAAGGAGGTGTTCAGACTTGGGTATTTCTTTCAGATAAGCTTAGGTTTAGATGAGACAGACATTTGAGACATTTTGTTCATTGACACAAGTTAGTTTTGTCTTAAGTTTAAATATCTTTTTTTAGACTAAAAGGGGAATTGTAGGAGGAGACGTAGGACTCCGCCATTAGCCATGCCTAGGTAGGGCAGTTCACTGCGCTGCTATCCACACCCACTTTGGGGCGTAGCTAGAGGCGTGTATGGAGGTTCTTATAAAAGACTTTACAAGCAGAGCCGCCCTCTCTCTTTTCAGCTTCTGGTTCAGTGGCAAAAGCTACTTGACTCATCTGGGTTGCCCGTTTTCTCTTGTAAGTAATTTCTACAATAAACAGTTACCTATACCCTCAACAAGTGTGCCATTTATCGTTACAGCAACTGGATATTCACCACTATGTAGAGTGTGGCCTTCCCTGCCATCCACCTGGGCCCTGCCACAGTTGCAGTTCCCAAATAACACACAGGATGCTATATTAATTATGAAGCTGTTGGCCGCTTGCTTGTTTCTTACTGGCTAGCTCTGACTTAAGTATTTAACCCATAATTGTTAATCTAAGTATTTCTCTTATCAGAGAAAAGGGTCTGGACCTCTTACTCCTCTGGTAGGCTACATTTGTCTTCCCTATGCCTCTCTTTCCCAGAATCCTCATCAACTCCTAATCCTACCTATCTTGCTTCCCTATTGGCCAACAGTGCTTTATTCAAACCAATCAGATACATTTTTACAGAATAACATCTCCAAACACCACTATTTACAGGGGCCAACAGATGGCTGTATGATTCTGAGGTATCTGAGGTGTGCATTTTTAAATAACATTTTTTTTTGAGCCTATGCTCTGGCCCAGCCCAGTAAGTGTCACTCCCACCCTCATCAAAGAAGCTTCCTCTGCAGCAGATGGGATCATTGCAGAAAGCCGCAGTTGGTCAAAGTGCAGAGAGCACTGACCCCCTCAATATATCTACAACACAACCCTATACCAAGGGCTCAAGAAGTAACTTCTTTTTATGCTTTCCCTCCAATGTAAAAAACAAAAAAAAAACAAAAAACAAAAACAAAAAAAACAGCTTTTCTTCTTTTTTTTTTTTTCAGAAAACCATTTTTTAACAATCATAAGAATCCCCTCCCCAACCATTGTGGGAGAGGGTTTGCAGGTAGATGGAGACCAGAGGTCAACATCAGATACCTTCCTCTACCTCAGTAAACCTTATTGGCTTGTTTTTGTCTGCTTTTGCTCTTTAAATACAGGGCTCTTGGTGAATGTGGAGCTTGCCATTTCAGCTAGGCTGATTAGTCAGTGAACACCCAGGATCCTATCTCTGTCTGGCCCTGGTGTTACAGGTATGTGCCACCAGGCCTGGCTTTACAATGGTGCTGGGGATGGGATCCCTCATACATGTACAGCAAGCATTTTTACCTACATCAAGCATTTTAACCACTGAGCCTTCTCCCTAGGCCCCAGGAGTTTTTCTTAAACAGCCATAAAACCTTAAGTGTTTTTTGAGATTCTGATTCTAACACTGATTGTGCCTTAGCAATGACGGGAAGGGGCTCAACTGCACCCCTGCATATTTGCAGGGACCACAGTAATAACTCTTTGGTCCCTTAAGGTTCTTCTGCCGTGTTTTCTGCCTTATCCAAATTAGATGAGCCCCAACCCTTTATGCTACTCCCCCAGTGACAAACCCCTGCACCCTCAGGCCCCCACCTGGGAAGCGCTGTGCTGATCTGCAGCCTTGGCAAGGCAGGGATGACTTCCACAGTTGAGCCACTGGTTTTCACTCCTGGGAGGTTGTCGAGCAGGCAGTCACTGAAGACCCCAAAGACTGTGGTGTGGTAACCTGCAACACAGGCAGCGAGTTCACACCTCCTGGCAAGGCTTGGCAATGTATAAGAACATCACAGAAGCCACAAAGAGAGTGCCAACCTCCCCTCATCACCCATGATCTCCATACCAGGCCCTATTCCCCAAAGACCCTGGCTGTTCTTGGACATAATGAAGCTGACAACATCGTCTGTGCCCTGTTTCCCACAGTGGGCCAGGTCCTTGAGAGAGCCCTCCCCATGCACTCCCAACCTTACAAGTCAGCAATCAGCCCAGCTCTTGGCTAACAGACCTTTCAGATTTAGCATCTCTCACCTGATAATGACAGCCAACCTTCCTTTCCAAGGCATGATGTGACTTAACGAGCATTTGAAAAATACTTTAGAACCCTCTGTTGAGAGATGAAGGTCTAAAAGCCAACTGTTGTCATTACAGCTGCTTCACGATGTGGCAGCTCAACCATGTTTGGACAAGGACCACAATTTAAGATCAGGACAGGGCCCGTGCAAAGGGAAAAGGCTTGTGAGCTAGATAAGCACTTGAAATTGTTTAAGCAAAGCTTTAAAATAGCCTTCGAAATTTCAAAAGATGATTGTGTAAATAGTATTTGCTGTGTGACAAATATAAGCAATGTCCAGCAGCTGGATTGGCAACTTTTCTGTATTATGTTGCAGTGGGATGATGAAGCTATTCCATAAGGAGGAGTTATTCTCCTTCCACAACAGCAGCACTCACTCTGTGGCTCCAGCAGTTCTAGGCATCTCTTTCCAGACACTGTAGCCATGCCCATTCCCTGGCCCAGCCACACCCCTCAATACAGCAACCACACATATACCCTACTGCAGCAGCCCCCAAACACCACACACACACACACACACACACACACACACACACACACACACACGCGCGCACACACACGCACGCACACACACACACACTCACACACCACACACACGCACACACACGCACACACACACACACACGCACGCACACACACGCACGCACGCACGCAACAGCCACCCCTCCTTCCCACCATGAGCTTCTCAAAGTCTTCTTTCTATGGTGTATATCTTCTTCCTAGGAGTCCCCTCTGACACTATAATACCTGCAGGCCCTCCTCTGTGTAAAACCTGATGTGATTCCATGAAGCCCTCCTTACTTCATAATTCTTAGTTACAATCAGTTTCCTTTGCCTAAGACATAGCCAGTGCTTAAAACCATGGCCACATAAACTCTCACCCGGTAACCATGTTTAGTGCAGGTCAGGATGATAGAGGCTAACCCGGGCAGCTAAGGCTCACCAAAAGTAAATGCTGATGCCATGGAAAACTGAGGTCTGCTGCCAGGCTCTCACGCTCGCTGAGACATACTAGCTCCTGTCTTGTCCCTGGACTAGCCATTCATACCTGACTTCCCATCATGGCCACAGCTCAGCCTGTGTCCTTCCTACCTGGACTCTGGGGACAAACATTAGGTCTTTGAAGCCCTAGCTCATAACCTGTGGTCTGGTGGCTCTGAAGCCTGTCTGACCAGCCTCCTCTCTGTACAAACACAGCGGCTCCCCTAAAACTCCAGGAGACAATGGATTGGAGGATGTTTCTCAAGCCCCCATGATGCCCATCTCCTTCCAGCCCCATCACCACCTACCCTCACCCTGACTATCTCCCTCTGACCACTCCCCAGAAATGCCAGGCCTCAAACAGACCACCTTGGAGAAGCTCTGCCTGGAGTCTCTGCCTATACATTGGTTCTGTTCTGCTTCAAAACTCAGGGTCACTTGCCAGGGCAGTCTCTGATGCTCACCTCCCTGCTGGATCCCAGCTTCCCCTAGTTCTCACATGTGCATCTCCACCCATCCATCTTAGCACTGGCTGAGATACATCTAACTCTCCAGCAGGCAACACCTTTTCCAGGCAACACATACGTGCTGATGCTGTTGAGCTATGGTCAAGACTGCCAAGGCTAAGAAAGAAGCCACCCCTGGTGCCATAGAAAATAAGGTATACAGAGTTTCGTGGGAGCATCATGGGGACACTGTGAGGGACCAAATCAGAATGGCAGGGTAAGGAAGAATAGTAAGGTTCAGGTGGCAGGTATGCTGTGAGTGCCATCAGGAACCTTGTGATATTCAAGTGAAACCTCCCAAGGAGGGGAGGACAAGGATACAGGTTGGGGTGGTCCAGGGCTCAGGAATGTGCCTTGAGACAAGACAGGACAAAGGCTAAGGCTTTTGAAACTGATGGGACCTGATAAGGGCTTTGGTATAGAAGGTAGGCCCATCAAGTAGTTTGGAAGACAGAGAATACCAGCCCCCATGATCTGTGATAAACCCTGTGAGACCATCATGATATGACGGACAGAAAGCAGCCATGCAGGTGACAGGAAGTAGCATCTCATACAATATTAACAGTGAGGTCCGGGAGCTGCTCAGGGCAAACGGTCCACAAAGGCATGCCATTGAGATGGGAGCCACTAGGAGAAAGGCCACTTTAGAGAGGAGAGGTGGGTTCCTGGGGCAATAATGTGTATATGAAGAGCCCATGGGATGTCTGAGGAGATGGCAAGCAAGGGGTGCTGTCCCTAAGGGAGAGCATAAGCACACATGGCAGGACTGAAGGCAGGAAAACGTCCCCAGCTTGGTGTGGGCTAAGAAGCAAGAAGAGGAAAGGGAAGGTGAAGAGCCCAGGAAAAGGGCTTGGCAAGTAAAGCTGCTTGCCGTGCACACCTGATGGTCTGAGTGCGACACAGAACACACATAAAGGAATCAGGAGAGAAGCAGGGCATACATGCCACCCCATACACATGTACACATCATACAAACACACAGAGCACACATAAAGGAATCAGGAGAGAAGCAGGGCATACACGCCACCCCATACACATGTACACATCATGCAAACACACAGAGCACACATAAAGGAATCAGGAGGAAAGCAGGGCACACACGCCACCCCATACGCATGTACACATCATGCAAACACACATAATATTTTTAAAAGAAACTAAGAAGAAAGGAGAACCAGGGACAAGGAGGGAGCAGGGGACGAGAGCAAGATAATGGAGGAAGGAGCAAAGGGACTGAGAGGCCCTGAGGGAAGGGCATCAGGAATACACCCTGTAGAAACCAAGACACCAAACAAGACCAAAGAGGAGGCGCCGTATCAAGGCTGACCTCTGTTAACGAAATCCATGAGAAAGAGACTAAATGACAGGCCCAGCTTCCAGCAGAGCAGCATTGCCCCTGACCCTGGTGACAGGGGTTTCAGTTAAGTGTCAAGAGCTGGGTGGAGAACAGAAGTCATCGAGAAACCACTGCTGAGATGGAGGTGGAGTGCGCGCATGGGCGTACAATGCTCTGAAAGGGCCCAGCAATGCTGGAGGGGGTGTGGCGACACCGAGAGAGAGGCTGAGTGCCTGCTGTCCCGGGAGAATGGCATGAAGAAGAAAAGCGAGAGGGACGCCAGAGAAGCCAAGGCACAGGAGCTACCCAGCCCCGGCACACCACATATCAAAACCAATTTGGGTTCTTTTTCATCGTGTCACTTGGGGGAAAAAAAACTGTCATTAGCTGGTTAGGATCACAGGTCAGACGACCAGCCCCAGGGGCAGTGACACAGAAACTTACCATTCACAGTGATCATCCCTGTAGTCTGTGGGACCCCCACCAGTGTCACTGGGTACAAACCGGATTCTGCAGGAAGGGAAAGTGCTGCCGGAAGAGACTCAAACTCCACTCCACTGGTGAGGAGGCCCTGCAGGAAGTGAAGGAACACTGAGGAGGCCCAGCTCAGACCCACGCTGCTTCCCAGTGAGCTCTCTGACATTCACCACAGGAGCTTTTCAACACTCACAGAAAACTTCAAGGGAGACTGGTAAGAGCTGGACACCAAGAGTAGGGTGGCCAGCAAAAACTCCAGCTGGGATTAAGCTCTGTGTATTATCGCAAGACTCCTTGTTTTGCCATTTTGCAAATGAGAATGTAGACCCAAAGAAAAATAAAGGGTTTTCCAAGCACAAAAGAAAAACATACAGCATGAAGTTATTTCTCTCTAGGGTGTCTATGAATTCTTTGTTCACCTCGGTGTAGAGCAAGCACTAAGCTTACTAGGGAACTACACAAATCCCCAGCCTCAAGAAACCGCTCTCTGACAGGCTGTAGAACACAGACATCAGTTCTCAGGAGTCTGTGCAACATGGACATCTACCCACAAAAGCAAAGGCATGGTCACTGTCACCCCTTGGAATGCATGCTGAACCCTGAATGAGCAAGATCAGCAAAGGGGCAAAGGCTGAAAAGCATAGGCATCATGATCTAAGGAAAAAAAACACACAAAAAGGGAAAAAACTAGAAAAGTAAAAGGAGAAATGCCATTAACAAAGGTCACAAACATCTTGGAGTAAATTCACCACACACACGTGCAAGACATCATGGCAGCTACAGGACACAACCAGAACAAAGAGGACCTCAACAAGGAAGAATTCCAAGATTGTCCCAAATGGGATGGTTTTCCACAGTGCAGTGGTCAAAACAGTAGGAACTTATCTTGGATACATTTTCCATGAGTGAGCCCATTGTTCACGGTGGAGGAAGAATGACAATATCAGAAAGAGAAAGGCAGAGAGGGCCCCTAGAGGATGTACACACTCGTGTTCCCTCTGCCAGTCCTGTCTCTGTAGGCAAAGGCACTCTGGGAGCAGGGGCACTCATGTGTGCTGGTGCGGACAGATGGCGTGGACAGGAGTGGAAGAGGAAAAGCCAGTTATATGGCTGTTGCCCCTAAGCAACATTGGCATTTACCTCTGTCTAAGCCAACTAAAGCCAAATGGCAGTTGCTAACACAGCTTCAGGGTACATGGTGGATATATGAGAGCTTATGCCTAAAATGTTTCATGGTTAAGTTTTTAAGCTTCTGACCACATGTTGTGGACTATCTCCAAATGGTGCTGTATAGTTTATTATCATGTTTTAGCCTTCCAATTTTTTTATAATGAGCACATATTATTATTAAACCAGATAAAAATGAAAGCTGCTTTTAAAGATATGTTTTTTAAATGAGCTGGGCATGATACATATGTCTTTGATGCCAACACTCAGGAGGTAGAGGCAGGTGGAGCACTGTGAGTTCAAGGCCAGCCTGTTACACAGTGAGACTTTGTTTCAAAAACCAAAAGAGAAAAAAAAAAGATGTATGGAGCAGCAGCAGCACCAGCCCTCTGACGCTAGCAACAGATTCTCAAGGAGGACAGGGCAGCTGGCTCAGCAGTTACCAAGCAAGAAAGAGGACCAGAGTCCGGATCCCCAGAGCCCACACGGGCATGAAGACTAACCTTTAATTGAGTTTCCGAAGGAGCAAAAGGGATCCTGGAGCAAGCTGGCTAGTGAAACTAGCCACACTGGCAAGCTCTGGGTTTGTCTGGGAGATCCTGCCTCAAAAAATTAAGGTGGAAGAACAGGCGGGGAATATTCCCAACATCAACCTAGGGCCTCCACACGCACGTGCACACATGTGCACACATGCCTGTACACACACATACCCAAAACACGCTGATAGGCAGGTACACACAAAACATACAAGGGGGAAAGACCTCAAGGAATGAATCCATGGAAGGGTGTGCACAGGGGCCTTGCTTGGGTCCCACATGAAGAGGCTACATAAATCCCTTCCCCAGACAATGTGGGTGAGCTGTTCTGAGGGGCATGACTACAGAGTGAGTGACGCCTTCCACAGGGCTCCAAAACAGAACAGCAGCGTCATGGCCATGCAGTGTAAACCCTGTTTTCTTACTTAAACCATGGCCTGTACCAATCCTTGGGCCCTGACCCCCAGATGACTATTTCACATTTATGTTCAATTAAGATCAGTGTGCACATAAATTGAAGGCTGGCTTGTAGATTCTCACACTACTGGGTGCCAAGTCAAGATACAGAAATGATGAAGTGTGGCCTCCCCACACAGGAAGCTCACAGACCTTAGCTAAACGCGTGTAAAATCTGGTTGTATACATCCAACATTAAGCAAAAAGGTGTTTTCAATGACAATAGGTTTTAGGTCAAATGACTGGTGGCACATACCATGTTTTCTACACGGAGCTCAAACGGCATCGGGTTGTACACCATCAGCTGAACTTCACACACATCTCCTTGAACCCACTGGAAATCTAAAACACAGACACAGAAGATCTCCAGGGTGAGTTTTGGTACCACTGTTATTCTCAGTTTGTTCCTCTGTCACAAAACTGCCCCTAATGGTCTCTGAATGGCTACCACTGAGACGCCTTCTCTTACGTGACCCAGAACAACCCTGAGTCCATTTCTAAAGTTTCCACCCCACAGATGACACAACTGGAGCAGAGGGTGGCACTATTAGTACCTGAGGGCCACATGGAAGGAAGTAAGAGCTGCGGGGCCAGGCTACAGCCACAGCCAAGATAGCCCCTGATGGCACTGGCTTATCCGGGTCATTACTTTGTCCCTGGGACAGCTGCTGACATCAGCACAAGGCCTCACAAGGTCATGAAGTCCTATTGCAAATGACATGGGAACCCAGCAAGGTGTGATGGTTCTCATCCAAAACGCCAGCCCTCATCAGCCCCCAAAGGTGATGAAGCAGGAGCATCAAGACTGAAGCCACAGTGGAAGTCAGAAGACCCCGTCTCCAAACAAAGACACCAGGAGACTGAGCCCTAGCAAGCCCAGCCCAGCAGTGGGTCGTACCGCTTCCTCACTGGCTCTTCCAGCAGGATAGCCTGCACTTTGTGGCCATCGTTTGGAGCACTGGTAAGGTTTTTTGCTTTTTTTTCCCCCTAAAGAACTGGTTAGGAAAAGTGTTACCCCATTGTTTAGATAAAAATGTCAGAGGGGAGTTAAGGAAGCTGGGGTGGATTTCTCTTCTGTGGGGTAGGAATGCCAGGTCAGATGAAAATGTGGGATAAATAAGAATCTGGTGACAGCTACAGAGCTTAAGCAAACACGGTGACACCCAGCAAGGGCACGGCACTGCTGGCAGTCCAGGTTGTTCATCCTAGAAGCCAGCCCTGCTTCAGTTGTAAGAAGTTGCTGAAGCTTCTTTATGAAAACAGTCTGTGTTTGCAGAAGAGATCGAGGCAAACAGTGCCTAGCCAGAAGGCTTGTCCAAACCACATACAGCCCAACCCAACAGCACAAGCTTACTTAAAATATTATGGAATTAGCTTTTTGGTGCTTTGCTTTGTTTTGAGTGGGGAACTCAACTGGAGGTCTCTCAGATGTGAACTTTGTAGATGACAACGTCATATTCCAGTGTGAGGACACAGATAGCCTGCCCAACTCCAGCAGCTTGCACGGCTGCAGGGTGGGGAGACCATGGTGCCAGCTTCCCTGCTTGCGGGCACGGGGGAGTTAACCCTTCTCCATGAACGCCAGGGAGGCGCTCTGACAAAGAAGCCTCATTCCAGCTCCAAATGTAGATTTGGGGATGGGTAAATGAAATTTATTTTCTTTTTTTTTTCCTTTTTTTTTTTTTTTTTGGTTTTGGTTTTTCGAGACAGGGTTTCTCTGTAGGTTTTGGAAGCTGTCCTAGAACTCTCTATGAAGACCAGGCTGGCCTCCAACTCATAGAGGTCCACCCACCTCTGCCTCCATGCACCACCACTGCCCGGCTATCTAAGGTCTTTCTGGAACTACCTTGATTAGTGAGTCCCTGCTGGAGGTCTGAAGACCATGTGTCTTTGACTTAAATTTCAAATGTTTCTAACTGAATCTCCAAGCCTAAGAGGAAAGTTACTATAGCATCAAGAGTGTGGTACTAGAAACGCCCTTGTGGTTGGAGGGAGGGACCCTGAGAACACTGCCTCATTCTTGCCATCCTTTGTGTCTGTGGGTCACTGTGCTGCTTCTTGAGCTCTGCTCTTTGCATGGAAACCACAGTCCAGGTATCAAGTTGGAGCATGTCGGGATCAAGAGTCTCCTAGGTTTTTTGTTTGTTTTGAGACAGGGTCTTGTTTTTAAGCAGTCTGGATGCATGGGGCGATAGAAAAGTCAATGAGCAGAAGGACCCCATCCTCCATCTCCAATAAGATGAAGGGAGGCACTCCCATCAGAGGTTCTGCCAGGGCCCCACACAATGCAAAGGAACAACTGTCTTTCTCTCCTCCTGCCCATAATGTATGCCAAGTGGGAAATACAGTCTGCCTTTCCTTGTCGTTGTCCAGTGCACTGATCATACACTTGTCTCATAGCCACAGGCTCTTCAGAACAGAGGGACGGGGCAAAGAGCCTACATCTGGGGCTGACATTTCTTTTCTGATATGGGATGTCCTTTGGTATGCTATGAATATGTGTTGTTTTCATTGGTTGCTGAATAAAGCTGCTTTGGCCTATATCAGGGCAGAACATAGCTAGGAAAGAAGTCCAAACAGAGTTACAGAGAGAAAGATGGTGGAGTCAGGGAGAAGCCATGCAGCCCCCGAAGGATTAAGATGTCACAACATCACCAGTAAGTCATGGCCACATGGTAATACATTAGTAAAAATGGGTTAACTTAATCTGAGAGCTAGTCAGTAATATGCCTGAGCTATTGGTCAAACAATTATAATTAATTGCAATTAACTATAATTAATTATAATATTGAGCCTCTGTTTATTCAGGAGCTGGCAGGTGAAAGAGAAATCTCCTAAAACTTGCTCTATAAACCAGGCTGGCCTTGAACTCAGAGATCCACTTGCCTCTGTCTCCTGAGTGCTGGGACTGAAGGTGTGGGCCACCATGCCTGGCCAGAGGCTAACTTTCAAAACCAAGACCAAGTTGGAATTTCAAAGACTCAAATGCAAATTCTCAAGCATTCGCCAGCACTCAGTATCAGCTGCCTTCTCGCCAGACATTAGTCCGTATCTCTTGCTTTACTTCCTTCTTAATTGCTCTCACTCTGTCTTTGAGACAAGCTCTCATACAGCCCAAGACGTCCTCAAACTCACTATGTAGCCAAGGATGGCTTCAAATTCGGATCCTCCTGTGTCCTCCTCCTAAGAGCTGGGGTCACCAATGTCCATGACAATACCTGGCACATTCATTGCTGGGGACCCAACCCAGGCTTTTATAGTTCTCCCTCCTCTCTCATTTTCACAAGGAACAGTTTTATAACATGCAGAGCCAAACCAGGGCAGGCCACCCTGCTCTCTCAAAGCAAAGCCACTGTATGCCTGCCTAGGTTTCCCCAAAGCCCAAGGGCTTAGTGAGTAATACCAGGGGCAGCTGTAAACAGCTCCATAACATCAAAGAACTTACTTGTATCTTACCCTAATCTTCACATCCCATGTGTTTGTGCTCTACCTGCACGAAATGGATAGGAAAATGTGTCTGGGGTAAAGACCTAGTGTATGTAGTCTTAAATAGACAGCCCTCAACTTATATCCCAGTAAACCTACTGGTAGTTGAAAATATAGTAAATCAAAAAGCACGTAAGTAGCCAGGAATGCTGAGGCATGCCTGTAACACTGGTACTTCAAAGGCTGAAGCAGGGAGATTTGGAGTCCAAAGCCAACCTAGGCTACATAGTGAGCTTGAGGTAAGTCCAGGCTACATGGTGAGACACTAACTCAAGAAAACATAAATGCATGTTACATGCTCTGCCCATCAAATATCACAGCCTTACCTAGCCTCGCTATGGAGTTCATGATGGATACTACCTATGCTTAAGCAAACCCATCCAACACAAAGCCTCTTGTAAAACGAAGTGTTTAATGTACTAATATTGTAATCATTTAGACATGGAATGAGTTCAACATGGAGTGAGGTTCAACTTTAGTCACCATTGGGATGACTACAACCTTTGGAGGAAGAGCCTTTGTAAGAAGTGACAAGGACCAGTGTGCAGTAAGAGGGATGGTAACCAGTAGATACACACACATGCTCCCTATCTCTGCCATATGATAGCCCAGGTCTTTATGGCTTCTTTACCATCCATGAATCATCTTTCATGAAATAAGTTTCTAAAAAATCAGATCAATGAGCAACTGACAGTCTAAGGCAACACATGAGATGAATTCCCAGGAGTGTGTGTCCACAAACACAAGCATATGCACACAGAGAACTGACCAGAAACCCAGTCCTCCTGAGGACACTGACAGTGGCCTACCTATTTTCTTGTTGCGTTCCTCTCCACGGCTGTGCGCAATGATTGGCGAATAGATGAAGGGGCTCTTGGCGGACATGGTCTGCCCCAGCAAGCTTTTCACCTTCTGTGGCCGGAGGCTGGTGGGGAGACTCAGCAGCTTCACGCACCTATCATTGCAAACAGAGTGCAGGCACTTGCCATTAGGACACTCACGCCAGACCACAATGAAAAGTGTTGGCCTGTTGCTGCCCTGTGTTGTGGAGGTCCTGCAGCTTTGGGTCTGTGGGTCAGGCCCTTCACATACTCCAGCAAATCACAGATGAGGTGGATACTGGGGCAGGCCAAGTCATAGTCTTGGCTCTGGGCCTGGGCACCAGCCAGTTCTCCCAAGCACGCCAGTGACTCTCTGCAATGAAAGTTGAATGTAAAGATACATGGACAAAAGGGTTACTGCACGACTCACTGTGTCACACCGCAGCATCCATGATGAGAGTTTTCCTTTTCCCCTTTCTTCTCTTAAATTTTATTTTATTTGGGGGAAGGGGTGCAGGGGCAGAGAGCAGATTCAAGGGGATGGGGAAATGAATGGGATAAAGATAATAAAAGATGTAAAAGACACATAGAATAAATTTTAAAAATTTTTAAAAAAATAAAGATGAAGGGAAGAGCCCCACTCCACAGGACCAGGCAGCAGAATAAACATGCCCACCCAGCAGGCCAGGAAGGCCAGGTCCCTCCCCCAGGCCGGGAAGCAGTACAGCTTTCTCCAACACAAAGGTTCTGGTAGTGATATATTATTTATGACTTATTAGAGCTTGACTGGGGATTCAGAAAAGCAAAGTCAGCCTCCAGCTATAGAGATCAGGCAGTGGTGGTACACACCTTCAATCCTAGCACTCAGGATTAAGAGAGAGTTGGATCTCTGTGAGTCCAAGGTCACCCAGATCTACACAAGATGAATCAATCTAAAAAAGAATTATAGCTCACACCTTTAATTCCAGCACTAGAGGGATATAAAAGATAGGATCAAATATTCAGTAGAGGCATTTGTTCTCCAGCCACACTGAAGACAGAGGTACTCAGTCTCCAGCCATGCTGAAGAGAGGTTACAGTCTGAGGCTTTGGTGAAAGCTCCTGGGGACAGGATCAGCCCATTCAGCCTGAGGCAGATGTAAAGAAGCTAGTGGCCAGCTGCTTTGCTTTTCTGATATTCAGTTTGAAGTTTGAACTCCAGTATGAGTCACTGGGTCATTTTTTTATCGAGTTACAGGTTTCTTCTACAAAATGAAGAGCCTGTCAGCCTTGCCTGTGGGGCTGAGGTGAGGATGGAGCTCCAGGTTCCTGCTCAGGGCCCACTGTTCTGCTCCCTGCTGTCTCTTCCCATCATGTCTGCCCACAGTAAGGAGAAGCCAGAGCCTATCCACAGGGTCAGAAGACGACATGGCGGAGGTGCACACACGATGCTCACGGTCAAAGGCAGTAAAGACAACTTTAGAGGCACCAAAGAGATGCAATGTTGCATTAAGGAAAGAAAATTCAGTGGTCCCCTTAGATTAATTTGACTAAGAATGAGTACAAGTTTTAATTTTCCACTTTTCCCCATGTTCTTGTCATCTGTAGTCTGTCCGGTGTGTGAGTTGATCAGCCCTATTGCCTGCATCCCTAACAAAGCTCTTTGCTCCGAATTTATTGGACAACATAGGAGGTGTCACATGGGGAAAGAATGAGGGAATACTTTGCAGAAATAGTCAGCAGAGTTTTGTAAAAAAGAAAGAAAGAAAGAAAGAAAGAAAGAAAGAAAGAAAGAAAGAAAGAAAGAAAGAAAGAAAGAAATGATTGGCACCAACTGACTCCAGTCACACAGAGCACTGCAAACAGGCTATGGAGTTAAATCCATGTAGCTTTCAATATGCATGGCAGATACTTGTTGAACAAGGTTGTTATTAACCTGTTGTCTGTTTTCAACAGATGAACACCACAACATACACATACAGTGCTTTGAGTCAGGAGCATGGAACATAGCTCAAGATTAGAGTTGTGCATTCGCTTGTGTTGTAAAGTTTGGCTACATAGAAAATCCAAAGCAAGTAGTGTTGGTTATTACACTGTTCTCTTAAAGGTGGGTTAAACAACCAAGCTACACAGCAGTGCAGCGGTCTTAAGTGACCTCAAGGAATATCATTAACTCAGCTGTGAAGTCAAGCAAAAGCTCCAGTCTCTTTGAAAGAGGTATTTTCATAAAAATGTACTACCTATCATGCTCAAGGTCATCCAAGTCAAGTACAGATGGGTACCTGCTGGAAGCTGAGTACACGCAGTGTGTGCTGCTGCTCCTTGCACCAACTCAGACACCTCAAAAGCACCTTCACGCCAGTGCTACTATTATCTCCCCACTATCGACCAGGAACGGACAAAAGAGAGACCAAGTGTAGCCCACAGTCCCATTAATGGGAAGTGACGGTGGCAGAAACACCAGCTCTAAACCGTAGCACTGTGAGTCCTCTGGGACCAGACTGGCCTGATGGCTAAGATCAGGAAGAGAAGGTCACACATGTAGCACCACTCAAGGGTGAGAAGAAGACACATAGCCCTGTGTGGAAGCAGGGCTTCTGGTACCCAACATGGCAGTCCTGCAAAGCCAGATGATCATGGTGCCTAGGACACCACCTACTCACACCAGGCTGAGTACATGGGGCACACCATGCTGTATGCAGTAAGACATTGTAAGGTCTCAGGCACAACCCAACCCACACTGAATAGTAAGAGCTACCACACAGAGCTGATCTCACTCAGAAGGGACGGACTCCTAGACCAGTGGTTCTCAACCTTCCTAATGCTGTGACTCTTTAATACAGTTCCTCTTGTTGTGGTGACCCCCAGCCATAAAAATATTTCATTGAACTTCATAACTGTAATTTTGCCTCCACAATGAATAATAATGTAAATATCTGATTTGCAGGAGGTATGATATTCAGCCTCCAAGGGCATCACGACCCACAGGTTGAGAACCACTGTCCTAGAGGAATCCAGCCCACCCTATGACAAGAGCCCCTACAGTACTTAGCACCCAGGCCCTGACAGGGTTCAGGTCACATGCAGGGGATACATCCACCACCCACAACAACCCATGTGTTGGCAGTATTAGAAAATGAGGCTAATTCTCTCGATTCCTTCTCTGAACGAACTCCTCCATCACACTGTCAATCTAGGACCAGAATGGCCTCACAGTTGTGTTTTGGTTCGAGCTGTGAGCTGGCTGAGTTCCAAAGCCTTGTCCAGCACTTGATCCTGTCACTCCCAGTAAATGCAGTAAATACTCTCCCAAAAGCTGAACTTCACACTCAGTGTCCAAAGCTTTTGAAGCTGAGCACTGTGGTGACCAGCCATTTCTGACTGCAGGAACCCGTTCTTCACATGCTCCCCCACCACCACCACAAGGACCCTGCCTGAGGCTAGTGCCCTCTCAGCCCGAGATTCACCCTGAAGTTGACAGAAAGACTCTCATTACCTACCATTGGGACAACACACGCTGATGGCTTCACTCAGCTTTAGCTTATAAAGTCAGCAAAGGAGAGCTACTCCGCTAATACATGTCACTAGAAGTATGTTTCCTCTGGTCCCCAGTTTTCCCAGGGAGGGATGCCCCTTGGAAGACAGACCCAACCTGACCCCGTCCTCCTGCACCACCCACCAGGGAGGGGGGAGTTGAGAACAGAAGCCTGTATACACTTCTTGATCTAGCTCCCAGGGTGGTCTGCATGCTACAGACCTAGGCCCTCCTGTGAAAGAGGCTTGCAGCTAGGAACAGCTCACACAGCTGCCTCACCTGAGACATGCCTGCCACAGTTTTTTATTTGCCTGATACAAGCCAAGCGTTCTGAACGCAGGTGGAAAGAAGGGAGTGGCCCACAGATCTCTTGCAGGGCATTGTGGGACTGCTTGAGGTAACGTGTTGGCACTTGTTATGGCACCTGGTACACACAGTAGGTCAGCAAAACCTTTTATCCTTCCCCCATCTAAAGATACTATTTATTTGCCAACAGATAATGGCTAACTGATACAAAATGGCAATGCCGGACAGCAGTGGGAGACCTTGTTTCAAGGCTGGCATTAACACACTGTTGGATGCTGAACTGGGCAGACTGGCCAAGCCTGTGTACCTGAGGGTAGGGCAACTCGGGGCTCTCAGAATAAGGAACACTTTCTGTGTCATGCCACAGCCTTACTGGAAATAGGGTGTAGATGAGAATTCTGAGAAACCCTCCATTCAAAGAGACAAATGGCTGGTTTATAGCATAAGTCCAAGAATTCTGAGGACACGGACAGCAAGAAAAATGACCTCTAACTCATTACAGTGTGTACTCATGACTCAACATTTTTCCATCAAATGTCATTTTATAAATGTGTCCCCTAGAAAAAGCATCCTTCCAGGCACCTGACTTGAAGCCCTATTCAGCCTGAATCTCTGCTGAACAAAGGACATTGGATTTGGCAGACGAAGCTGCTGTGACTAAAGAGAATCTGAGGGACCAAGGGTCCAGGATGGGGTTGCCTCAGTATATTCCGTTTGGGCATAACATTTCGGAATCCTGAGTCTTCCTGGCGTCCTGTGGCTAGCAGGGATCAAGTTGGACCACAGTGGAATGCTAACGAGGGCAGCGTTTGCAAAAAAGCTGCTTGAGAAAGATGACATGGGAACTCATGGAGTCCTTCTTCCCTTGTCTTCTCATTCTCCTCCCTGTGTCAGGGGAAAACATAGGTCAGCTATCACAGAGCTTCTGGCCCATGCTCCAGTTCAGAGCTCAAGCTCAACATTCCCAAGTCACTCTTTTGGGAGGGCAGGTCTCTGTCAGTGTAGACCTGCCTCTATCAGCTAATTCAGGAAGATACCTGTCATTGGATGACAGCTAACTATAAACAGTTCTGAACACAACACCAAACTTATCTCAAATAATCTACAACATGCTAGGCAGTATGAGCCTAAAATTCTTGCACTGGCAAGTGGAGACAGGAGGACCAGGAGATCAACTCATCTTAGTCCTGCAGAGTTCTGCAGGAATGCTTGGGTCCTTAGTGGCTACCCTCTGCTGCAGCCAAAGGCACTGAAGCACTGACATCATTCCAAGATGACATCATTCCTGACCATCAATGAACCCCATAAGTGGCC